AAAACACTATTCTTGTTTTATATGGGAAGGAACAGAAAAATAATTTACTGTCACTTGCTGCAGGAAGCCACTGGGATGCCTCTACTCTGCAGCACATGATATTGGGGATCAGAACACTGGGCTTATTTTTTGAGTTCTTTGAAGAAACTCCTCTCATATCCTGGTCAGATAAAACTGTCTACTTGAGCTGTTACAAAGCCTAACTAATAGGAGCCTTATTTTGATAACCAAAATGAGAAAGCACAAAATATTTAAAAAATGTGGCTTGGGTGCTTGTCAACTGCTCTAAAATGAAAAATTCTTGCCTATCAATGTGACTACGAGTTATGCATTTTCCCACTGGTTTGGCTCAGTTTTTGTTTTAGATGTTAGGGAGACAGGAGCTCTAACAATAGTGTCAGTGAAATTCCCATCCCAGTGTCTCAAATGGACACACCATGCTGAGCCAACAAAACTCCATTATTCCCAGCAGCACCCAGAGCGGGGGTTCTTTCCAGCCGTATCAGGAAAACCTCACTTATTCTGTGCTATCATGTAGGGTGAACATGGGGTTTTATCTTCTTCTTTTAAGCAAACAATTCAATAATGCAAAGAAATTGATAGCACCTGCAAGACTCTCTTGGTATAAGCCACTCTTCACCATCTAGACAGTCTAATAATGCACTAAGAATATGCAGTTTAAATTCATCTACAGTTGGGAATTAGTAATGAAAATCTATAGCATGAAACTGTAGAACTAGACAATTATAGTGAAACTATATACCCATGGCAGGGCATTTGGAATGAGATGATATTTAAGGTCCCTTCCAAACCAAGTAATTCCATAATTCTATAGCATGTTACAATTATACTCTCAGCTGTTCACTTCCACTTTCTGAGGAATTCTCTTAATTGACAGATGGACATTTTGGGGGATTATTTTCACAGCGAACATTCCCATCCATTCTTATCTGTTATGAAGAATAGAGTATTACCTATAAATTCCTCCTATACCTACATATGGATGCAATTATTAGGAAAAGTCTCAAGAGATTATTAGAGCTTCTTAATTTAAATTGGCTCTTCTTTGATGTAATGAGTAGTCAGGAAGGCACAGACCTGAGGACTGTCTGAGAAGGGATTTCTGCTTCTCTCAGGGTCGACACTGATGTTCTTTTAATTATTTTTCTCATTTCAGGAGTCATCACACAGATGACTACACATACAAAACAAAATAAAAATCTAATGTACCAAAGGAGAGATAGTAAAGAGAAAGTTTTTGCAGCTATATCCTTTTAAGGAATATTTTGCATGTTTAGAATGTGCCAGAAAAATTGAAATTTCAGAATTCCCCTAGTGAAAATGATGTGTTCAAGGATTCATGCCAATTTAATATATTAGCTCTGTGAAGCACAGCAAGAATAGGAAGAAGAACCAGCACATTTCTGCAGTGATTTTCACAACATGAATAAGAACATATTTATATTCTATCAGAATGGTTACCTTGATAAAACTTGCCTGAAAATTAAAGGGTGTCTAAAACCAAAAGAATTGTTATGTTCGTTTTTATGGTGTTGTCAAGCTATAGTAGGCCAATTCAAGAGTCCTAAGGGTAAAATAGGGGATCAAAATTCAATAGACAATGTGGTTGTCTTTGTACCAGTCTTTTTGCCATAGTACTTTTTCTTATTGCCTTCACACTAGATTTTAATTTTAAAACCTATTGCTTTGCTAAATAATGGCTATTTCCTGCTCTCCCCGACAACTGGTCAAAGCTGTGTTTTTATTTATATGCAGGTGCTCCATTGCCCTTCTGGGAAAGAGAGGAAGGCAGCAAGCAAACTTATTTTCCTACTACTTAACTTCTAAAAATATTGAACATTTTGATGTTCATGTCATTATAAAGCAATAAAAAGGTGCCTCTTAAAACTAAAAAACAGAAATGAAATTTCAAACTGCTCCAAATTATGTTAGTGCAGAATATACAATTTTTAAAGCAACTACATCAGGTGCAGAGAGTAAATTTTGACCCTTTTTGGTTCAGTCTTTAATTAGAAGGAGCAGTTTTCATTGTTGTTGTTGCTGGTGCTAGTTTGTTTGCTTGCTTTCTTGTCTGCTCTCACTCAGCTGAACAATTCCCCTTAGCAGGGAGATGAACCCCTCTGAGGTCATACCATCCACCAACCTGCTGAAGCTGAGATACAGCAAGGTGAATTTAACTGCATGATGCTCTGTTTTGTTTCTCCTTTCTTTCAGGGCCACATCCCAGCTCAGAGAGACACTTGAATTCAATTAGTATTCTATAGAAGGAGGCTTGTTTAGAGCCCTTCCAGCAGTGTTCCCTTATGAAAGAAAGCTGCACCCCAAAGATAACTGGTTGCCAGGCAGAAATCAAGTTCTTAAGAAAATGTCATATATTTTCAAAATCTTCTGTGTGTGTATATATGTCAAAGTTCCTAATGCTGTGGTCAGGGAGTGAAGGAGAAAGACACAAGTTATTCCATTACTTATTCTGAATATCAATTCCCCTTTTCAGTCATCTGAAAAACAAAAAATGCCCCATGATTTTTTTAATAATTGATTTTTTTTCCAAAGTTCTGCAAAATTCCAATCTGAATAACATACTCTTTCCTCCAGCACACCAGACTCTATAAATTATTTTTAAGCACTGCTTTCTTTGATGTAGGAATTTTAATATCTTTGTGTCCACTTACTAATCCTTAGTATTTGCATTTCACCACAGTTCTCCTTATTGTCACAGTCAGACCTCCTTCAAGCACTGCCCAGTACTTTCTCATGCTCTTAAAAGATACATCTACAGCATTAGTTAAACTTAAATATCTCTTAAGAGCTGCCTAGTTGCTGTCCTAAGACTCCTGTCATCATCATCAAACTCATCTTCATAAGTTATAAACAGGGTCTCTGGGAAAATTCAGGAAGTTAACTAGTCCAGAGAAACTTCCCCAGTGACAAGGATGTTGACACTGAGGACAACATGTATGCAGCTAGAAGAATTTCCACCCACTGAAGAATTGACCTAGGGAAAAGGCAGTGCCCATATTTACATTAACTATCCTGTGGTGCTGAACATTTCAAAATCCAATCATGAACTTTGCCTTGATCATGTAATTAAACATAAAAATTCATGTGTGTTCTCTATTATGAGTCAATAATATAAACAACACAAACCCAAAACATGTAAAAGCTAGGTGAAGATTACAGCTGAAAAATAGGAGAGAACGGTAAAGTAGATATGTTATGGAAAAATAATACAGCTCCAGCTTATCTCTCCAAGTCCTAGCACAGTTTTCCTTCCAGTGCCAAATCCTTCTGGGTGATCAGCAGCAGAAATGAGTAGTGAAACTCTTCCCATCTAAGCATTTTCTATTCTTTACAGTTTTATTTTCCCCCACTCCAAATCTTACAGGTCTGCATTAATATTCATCTGTATTTATTGATACAGGCTCTGTTAAATGTTTCCATTTATTTAATTGGTTTGGTGTGTTTCAACACTGATTGACTCAAGTCCCAGCTGCCATTAATCTTCCCTGCTGACCATGACAAAGCTCTCATAGATTTTTCCCACAAACACAAGTGGCAGATCATTTATCAAATTCATTTAATGTTACCCTGTACAGGAGAAACTTCTTGTTCCCTTGACCAAGGGTGGCACTTGTTAAACAAGAAGACAGCATTTAAGGAGTAACTGCTTCACGTTTTGTTGGATCAGGCAGCCTCCAAAATAACTTGGTATAGAGCAGTCTGAACTAGACTGTTAAATAGAATACTGTTTTGGAACAATTGCAGAAGTGTGTTTCTCTCTGGCACAGATTTCTTTGTTATCAGCTGCAGTATTAAAGTAAGTTTGCAGAGGGTTTATAGATGTTTTTCTTCTAGATTGAAAAGAACATGTGAGCTGTTCAAAACCACACCATAGACAATTTCAAAAGGAGTTCTCAGCCAGTCAGTTGAATTCCCTGATAAACATGATTTTGCAATAACATATTGCAAAATGGTGTTTTAAGTCCTGCAGAACTGAGTGGTATCATCCATGGTAAACACATCTTTGCCTGGTCCATTGAGTGAGAAACTGTTTCCTATCCTCCCTTCCAGCTTCAGGAAGCTGAAGAAAAGACAGAGCAGATATATGTATTCATCTACACAGCGCAGAGAAGTTTGAAGGCAAAGGCTGGACAACTGTGTGCCATGGGATGAAGGAATAATGAAACCTCAAGGCAGCTTTTTTTGAAGACTGTGGAGGCTTCCTAGAATAAAAAGTGATATTATTGCTTCATTAGGTTCATCTTTGTGACACTGCTTTTGTATAGGCAAGTTTTATGCTGTTGTAGGAAGACAGAATACAACAATGGAGATGTGGTTAGGACAATTACACTCATGATCTGTCATTAGCCAAGTAGTAGATACTTAGTCCCAATATGTAGGGTATTTCTTCTATAATAAAGGAGATGAATAAATAGTCTGAGTCTATTACATTAAAGTGATCAAAGCTCCTACTTTTCTTCTCAAGTTGTAGAACACTGTTTTCTCCACAATACCACATCCCTCTACATGATTACCAGCAGAAAACATTGTGTCTTTAGCTGTCATTAGCTAAGGAGGGTTGAAAAATGAAATTTGAATGCAAATTTGAATTTGAATTCCATAAAGCTATGAGCACTTGAAAACAGGATCAGAATGATAAATGTTTTCCAAAACTTAACTGGAGCAGGCATTACAGACATTTCTGCAGTTAAGAAATACATTATTTCTAGAACAGGTAATCAAAGAAATCATCTCAAATTTCACAGTGCTAATAGAAATTATTTTTGCCAAGATTATCCCTTGCTAGTTATCCTGTTCATACAGCAACACTTTTTTTTTTTTTTCTTTCAGGCAGCTCCAGGTACATCAGGAGGACAGAGAACAGTTCATGTCTCAGCAGTCCTGCCAACTGGACCAAAACCTGAAAGTTCTGAGTGTTGCAACTGCAGATGGAGAGGGAAGGGAAGGGAAGGGAAGGGAAGGGAAGGGAAGGGAAGGGAAAAAATTCAAATCTTACAAATTGAGATGCTCTCAATTGCATTGCTTAACTCCAAAGACAGTAAGTAGGCAGGGTCTAACTTTGGGAAGGCTGATTCTCTCTGACTAACTTGGCACTACTTCTGGAGTTAGGCAATGCATGTTAGCCAAAGGAAGATATTTCTGTGTGGGATGCTTGGTGCCCTGGGAAGAAAATGCATTTGATTTGAGAAGGTAAACATTTTCCTTTTTTCTTTCCCACATCACCTCGAGTTTAGAAGTTAATCCTTAAGCTTTTTACTAAGTGTTACCTTGCCTGCACTTATCAAATATTTTCCCACTCCCATTGATACAACCGTTTGTTAAAGACTGGATACTTTTCTTCTTTTTACTGGTCAGATAGAATCTCCATAATCCCTAGTACCATCTATATTGTACACAGTTGTGCTGATGGTAGCAGGGCTGACTGCCTTTCTGCATCACATGCCTTTTGATCACACAACACAGCAGCTTCAAATGTGATGCTGGGAGAAAGGGAGAGAGACACAGTACAAATGAAAATTAATTTATCCTGTCCAAGTCCAGTCTTTCCCTGAGGCTGAGCAGCAGGATAACACAGAGAAAAGCTAACTCCCTTTTCCAGAACCACACAAAGCACAAATAGAAAAAGCCCTATGAAGTCATACGGTCCTCTGACTTATCACTATAGAATTGTCCTTCGCATTATATTGTATGCTGTAGTTTTAACTTACACAACCATTGAAATTAGCAACATTTCCCTTAGGCATATATTCCAAAAGCTACTAGGTCATATTCTGGGGAAATAAAGGGATAATAATTGCAAAATCTTACCATCTGTCAGATTATAAGTCATATAAAAATGCAGAACTATACTAACAGATCATGGCGTCTAACACTCAAAAATTTGGAAATGAAGAATTAATGCTAGAGTACTCAATATCATGCACATCTCAAGATGATATATTATCCAATTTAACAGTTACATGCTCTTCCCCCCCCCCCACCTCACTTAATGAGCTGACTGTGACTGTTTTCCTTCTCCTCGTTTTTAGGTTTTGAATTCAGGTACTACATGTAAAACAAACCCTTCTGAAGTTTAATCTCCTTAAAGGTTTTTCTCTGGAGCTCTTCAAAATGCAATTTGGATGTTTCACACACACTATGCACAGGCCAGCCTTGGGCATTGTCAGGAGTGGTGTTAATTCCCTCTGACAGCCAAAGAGCCCAGGCGTGGAGCACTCGCAATGTTTGGGTGCTCAGTCTGAACCCCAGAGCCTAAATGTTGAAAATAATCACTTATGCACTACCGTATCCACCCAAAGTGTAGCTGTTACTGCATCAGTTATAGTGAGGTTCATATGGTACCCCTGGAAATCCAAGCACATGTCCCAGGTCAGGCTCTGGAAGGCAAGGGATGAAAGCACTGAGTATCAGTGCAAAGCAAAGTACTGGTTTAAAGCTGGATACACCAACACCCCAGGCTCCATATACTGAGCCCAGTCCATTTTTAGATTTCTATAGCATCATGTTCCCTGCACAATATCTAAGAGCAGAATTCACAGACTTCTTTATTCACCAACCCTTAGTGGAACCTATTTCCCATTGTGTGACAAACAAGGTGACATAAATGTGTGTTTGTTGAACTAGAGAATCAGAAAAAGCTTCAGACTTAACAGATGGGCATTCATGGACATGCACTTATGGGTACTGGATACAAAATCTAGGGAACAAGTTCTGATGCTACTTCAGCTGAATGTTTTAACTCTTTTAGTCAGAATGGAGAAGAGTCAGCAGAAATCACTCAGGTTTTTTATGCCAAAGAGTGCCATTTAATACAGTCATTACAGTACAGCTTCTGGTTTAATAATTTCAGCTGTTTCCCACATATAAGGGGATATTCTAGACACTGGTGTAGAACACATTGTAGTGTATTTATATACTGTAGTATGTAGTAACACATGAGCTTTTATTTAACTCCAATGTATATCTGGTGTCAGAGGTATTGGTATGAACTGAGCCCTTCCTGGGTCTCTGAGCAGGTGCAATCACACCTAAAGGAGATCAAACTGCTGTATCTTCATTATTATCATGTCTATATTGACAAAACTGTCACAGCACTAGTGACATCTGCTGCCAATTCATAGGCACCTGGCCTTGACTGGAAACAATAGCATACTATTGTGTGTAAGAGGCCCTGGATCTCAGGTCCAGTGCCAGGCTCTGTAGAAAAGTGTGCTTTACTGGGAACAGACTTCGATGTTTTGTTCCCCACCTTCTCCAAACTTGATTCAGTGTGCCCATGCTCCTCAAATGCCTCTGCTCTACTCCTGACTGCTCCTAAGACACATCCTCTCCCTTCATTAGTCCCAGAAAAGTAGTTAATTTCTCATCCTCCTCCCAGTTCTTTTGCATAACCAGCCCTCCTCTACTTTTCTGCACTGCTGCCCACTCACTGCCGCATTGCCTTCTCTCTCACCCAGTAGTCTTGTTCACTAGTCTCATTTTCCCTTTCTGGTAGCTCAGTTAAGTTTTTCTTGTCTCACTAAGTATTTATCTGTCTTCTAAACTCTGTTCCAGGTACCTCCTCCGGATTTGCTCCCCACTACCACTGCCTAAGAAGTTGCTGCTGTCCTGCTGGCACTGAAGCTTCTTTTCAGATTCATTTATCCTTTTTTCCCCCAAATTTCACCAGTTTCTACATCACTGTGCAAGCTGTTTAAGAGATCAAGAGCTTTGGCTACTCTCAGAGGTTCCTGGTCCTGCCTGAAAACATTTAAAAGTCTCTGATGGAAACTCTATGCCAAATTCCCAATTTCGTCCCCCAGTCCAACTCACAGTCTAAGTTTCTCACTTTGTTTGCCATGCATCTTTCCAGAGTCTTTGCCTCAGCTCTGCCTTGTTCCCTGTGCATAATATCTTGTTAGCTTTTTGCAAACTGCTGGATCAAGGGACAGGAAGAGAACTGGAAAAGCACACAACTCATCCAGTGTGGGGGTGTAGACCACGTACAGTCACAGCAGCACAGAGATGCAATGGCAGGAAGATACCTCCTTCCACTCCACATTCAGAGAAAATGACATTTTCAGGGCATTTATATTCTGGAATTTCAAAATGTGTGATCTGTCTACATTGACTTATCAAGTATGAGTGGGTTTTCATGTATAAAGAAGTTGCTCCTCACTAAATGTAAAATTGGCCTCCAAGCCAAGAACTACTGGAGTTTCTAGGCAAAAAGATAGTTCTGACAATGTATATTCCCTGCAAACTTTCTCTAACCCGATCTTCCTCTTTAAGAAAGGGAAGTTAGTGGCTTATAAGAGCCCTAAACATTCTTCTTAGCATTATTCCAAATTCTTCTACAGTACAAAAAATAAGTTACAGGGGAAAAAATTCCAACAATCTGTTGATGCTTTCCACAGAGAATAATCATCTGAGGATTGGATTTGGAAAATCAAACTAAAGAACCAGATATAAGAAAAACCTCCCCTAACATGCTTCAGGAGTAACCTGTCATCAGTTCAATGGACCAGTTGGTAGCTTGGCAGTACGATGAATGCTCAAAACAATGGAAACCAATCCAAAGTACAAATGCTGGAAAAGTAAAAAATCAAGTAGTTACTGTCTTTGATTTGTTTTACTCCATTCATATAAATATAGCACTCCATGGAAAATACAAAAAATTATGGTTCAACAGAATGGTCTCTGTGCTGAAGGTGTATGTGTGGTATCTTACATCCACGGACATGTTTATCTAGCATTGTTCCTACCTCTGTAAGGTACATACCAAGCTATTTTAAAACAAGAATTTTATTCCCCTTGTAACTGTTTTCTTCATCAGTTTTAATTAAATATAACAAGAAAAATGGCAGTTGGATTAAATAACGTGCTGTGAGAGTAAAACTACCCAGTAGTCAAAGACAAATAACAACATAAAACCAAAAATGCTAATGGCATACTATGAGTGCAATGATCAACTGATTAGCCGCTTAATTTCTCATTTGAAATCAAATTTGCATACCTAACTTATCAATTCAGATGTGACAGTAACATTAAAATTAAATATGTGTTTCAGTATTTCAGTAAATGACAGCCATTGGTTAAATAGCAATAATACTAGCCTTTGTGACAAACATGTAGGGCACATTGCCTAATTCATTTCATTTTCAAATGAACAAAGAGTGACTCTGAATGCCTTGTTTCCCTACAAATATGCCTGGAAGGATTGGTTGCTAACACTGGAGACTGAAAGATGGTGGCTGCAGAAAATAAGCACCATTTATAATGTCAAACCCAGCCTCTGAAGCAGAAGGGTGCTGCTCAGGCATCAGCTCCCCAGACAAGATAAGTGTTTTGGCTGTGGTTTGGACATAGCTGCTCACCAGACATATTAGGTCTCCACGCAACAGTCTTGCTAGCAACTAATATCAACTCTCAAGAAGGAAATCTGAGATTTCTAAGGCTTTTTTACTGAGAAAAAAATCTCCCCAAACGTCTATGACAATTAATGGCTTATGTAATATTTAATTATTCATGTTCAGAAAAATGACCACCATAGATCACACATCTGTGAAATTTTGGTCAATGTCTGCTTTACTGATGAAGGTATTGAGCCACCTCAGGGACATTAAGAGCAAAATTTTGCAAAAAAAAAAAAGATATCTCTTCTGATGCATTTTTGAGTACTGCTAATTAATGTGTTGTTGTTTAGGACCATGTATCTGAGATAACTATATCTTGTAACAACTTTTGCATTATAAATTCCTATTTATGAATCTGGGAACAGAGACAAAATAAAATCCATTGTGGATGATTATCACTGCTTTTTAAATATGATTGAAAAACAATAAGGAAAAGTAAATGTTTTTTATTTTTGTGACAAGGATTGAATTGCACCGCATTCAGGTTACCTTTTCTTACATTTTCTGTTTGTGACAAAGATACTTGCCTGGAATGTTAATTCACTGAGGATAGAGAAAAGAAAAAGAAGAACCTGGCAAATTGGGACTTTATCTGCTGCTACACATTTAGAATGGTGGAAACACAGCCTAAAGAGACGAAGAAACAAACCATAGTGCAAGATGTGTGGCAAAACCTGCATGCAGAAATCACAAAACTATGAAGACTGTTATACAAGACTGTGGATTACCACATGATTATCTTTGCTTACAGTATATACATATCTATGTAGTACCCATATACATGCAAGGGTGGACAAAATATTATTTTCCCTGTAATGTTTAAGGTTTTCAGTCACTTCTGTTGCTGCTTATCATGGTTTTTTGTCTCATCTGCATAGCAATGTTCTGTGTTTCAATAACTATAGGAGATCACCACCTACATAAATAAGTATATAAATGGAAGTATTTATGGACTGAAACAAAGAGGCTGAAATGCTGTATTAGTTTTGTCTTTATTCCTTACTGATTTTCATATACCTGTTTTCCCAGAATTTAGTGTCTTTCAGCACAGAGCACTCCTGTGTTGTCAGTCTCACAAGCAGCCTGGAGTTTCAGAGACAATTTGTTATAAGCTTATTTCCTTTCATTTCTTAAGTTCTAAGGAAAACTCAACAGATTTTCTATCTGTCAAACATTGCCATGCCATAAAAATTAGTCTTGTGGGTGTGGGCATTAAAGTGCTTCAATTTTATAGCACATATTTATCTCAAAATAGTCCATTTGCAGTAAAAGAGAAAACCTGGCTTTGCAGAGGTTTGGAGGATTAAAGGAAACATTTAAGAAAAGAAAGTGAGCCTGCCCAAAGCATGCTGAGTACCCTGCCTTCTGGGCTCTGCACCAGCCACCTGTTAATAGCAGACCTCTGCTTTTGGCATCAATTAGGAGGATAATTTCTTGAAGAAAAGTGCTGTCAGAAAGCTGTAAGACCAATTTTTTTTTTGAACAGGTGTTGCTCTTGGAGGGTATTACACAGGACATACTTTGATCTTCTTGACTAGCTGTCTGAACAAGATGTCATGGAAAGAACTCATACTCTGACCATCAGCTCCTCACCTAAAAGCCCTGAAGGGCACTAATTAGAAATATAAGGATTATAGTGACAGGAAGGAGTTGGTGGCACGTATTTCATCACAAAAGAGAGTTCAATCTGGCAGCTAGTCTGTCATTCCTTTGAAGGGTAAAGGAAAAAAAAATACTTTGTTTTTCACGAATATTCAAATGGGAAAGTCTGTGGACACTGGTGCTTTTGTTAAAACAAAATCCAGCAGGTGCATTCAAACTCTCAGCCAGATGAAAAGTCTCAAGTTTTCTCTGGCTTAATATGCAACCAACTTGTCACCATGTCATAAAAGAGCCATGGTTACTTCTGTGCCATGCCACCCCTCCAAAGATAAGCCACCAGAAATTGCTGAAGAGTCACTCCATTCATCTTCTCTCCAGCAGCCCTAATGGCACTTCTGGAGCAGGCAGACAGCATGAGTGACAGCAGCCCTGAAGCTACTTTAATGTGTTTCACAGACAGGGGCTGGCATTTGTTACCTGAGGTTCAGGGATATGCTTCAGTGTCTCAATGCCTCTTCCCTCTAGTTCAAATTTGCTTTAAGCACTATTCTGCTATCCCAGAAAAACAAGGCCAAACTGCAAGATATTAGTTACTGCCTGGAGTAGGAGCTAGCCACAGGCAGTGCAGAACAAAACCTTGGTCTTGAGATTATTTGTGACAGCATTCTACTCAATTGATTTTTGCACCAAAGAGGGTTTTTCTCCACCCACCCCCCAATTTATTAACTAAACTTTTGATGTATGTATCTGCCAATGCTACTTTTTTAATAAGTAAAAAACCCTTGATGGATTTGAATACAAAATCTGAGATAATTCTAGCCATGGAAACTTGTACTTCTTGCAATGACAAAAAAATTACACCTGAATATTTTTTTAGTAATATCAGCTAGCATCACCATTCCCAATGAATGTTATCAGATGATGGTGCAGAGAGGTAAACATAACTGTTGCTGAATCCTCACAACAAACAGAGATAGAAACCAGCATCTAGAAGGTGATTGATTTCTTAAAGGTCCTGTAATGAATCAATATCATTGCTTCTGTTAGGTTTCTGGATCCCTGGTACACAGGCCTAGAACTGAGAAAGAGTTGGACTAATCATTACCTTTTGTTTCACAGAGAGATAAGAAGTGTTGAAGGAAACTTGTGTTGAAGCATGATTTCTTGGTATATTAACCAAGAAACAGAGGACAGCTACATCCTTTTACAATGCTGAGGATCTTCACATGTCCTAGGACAGCCAGATTTGTAACATTTAAGCTCATCATCAAAGTTATGGTACTGTCAAACCTCTTGTTTATTTGTTTATTCATTTCATATCTTCATTAAACAACTGGGAGAGTAATATTTTTTTGGCCACTTATTTTTTACTTATAAATCTCTATGACCACAAGATTCATGTGTTGCTATTTCCTCTTCTAACCCTATTGCCTTTTATTTTGACAGCACACACCTGGCTGCTCATTTTTAAATTTTTCCTGGGGTTTTGGCAATTCTTCACTGTCTTGTGTCAACACCTCCTGTTGCTGGTACCTCACTGATCATGAGTCAGAACAGAGGGAGAGGCTCAGAGGAGGGTCTCAGGTGGAGGGTCTCAGTGCAAGTGGTCAGCGTAGCACTGCTTAAGTAGTCTCATGGTACTGACTGAAATGACTTGGAAAGTGATTTCCATTTATTTTTTGCAATGTAACTACATCTGCTGCAGGCTCACAGGAGAAGGAAGCAGCTCAGGAGATAATGCTGATGGATTAGTGGAATGATAAACTTGTTCCAAGGACAGCTTTGCTGCTGATCCTGTCTGTCTCACTTGAATGAAAAGGAGGTGGGAAAACATTATCCTTCATCACAGGTGGGCAAATCATACTTTAGGTTTGGGGGTTGTAATAAACTTGTCCCTAATCAAATTTCACTATAATTCTTTTATCATTACTAGTATACTTTTCAATTTCTGTTTCTTGCTTTTGCCTAATCCATCTTATTTTTGTATTTTTGCCTAGTTCAGTCCCAGCTTCTCTTTCTGTTTTGTAGCCATTCTCTTCACCATTTAAATGATCTGTCAAATGCAACACTGCAGGAAAAATGAGGAGCCAAAATGGGAGAGAACTGCAGCTCTCCCCGTGCCTGCAGCACTCTGCCACTTCCAGGGCTGGTGGCAGTGCCTACAGCAACTGCTTTCTTCCACTTGCTTGTGACTCATGGTTTCTTTTGCATAACCACAATAAGCAACACCCACGCAGAGCCATCAGTCAGTTCAGCAATGGCAGCAGGAAAGTTTCTTTATTTCTAAGGAAATATTAAATTTTTGGGAAAAAAAAAGGAAACCAAAACAACACAAAACCCTCAAACCACTACCTGACAAAGGCTTAATAAGTCTGTTTTCAAGGACTATTTAAATTAATTTTACAGAGAAATTCTCTTGCATAGCCTATTGAGGAATTTGCCAAACAACAAGGAATTACTGAGATTTTATAGATTTTAGGGAGTCAAGTTCATTGTAACCTGCTAATGCCAGATTTAGAAAGAATAAAGAAGATTGAGTGTCACAACAGCTAAATAACTGACATCTCCTCTATGCCAAACCTACTGTCTTCCCTGGCATACATTACTCCAACTACTTCAAATGAAATCCAAACAAATTAATAAAAATACAATTACTTGAGAAGCTTTGAGAAATATAGATATAAATTACCAAGACAACAGCACATGGCTTGCAGTCCAGCTTCAGGAAACCAACCATGGTTGCTTGTTTGAAGATCTAGGTATTTTGGTTCTCTGACTTTAGGACATATTTAAAAATATAATTCTATTGCATAAAGTCCATGGACTCTCAGTGCTCAAACTATTGTCTTTTGGAATTGGAAGCACTTTTTTTTCACTCTTTAATGAAGTCTCACACACGAAGCTAAGTTGGGATCACAGTTTTGTGAACACTTTGCTGTATGCTTTTCAAATAAGCGCAGTGAGTAAAGCAGAACTTTATCTTCAGGAGTAGCTCAGAGACATGGCGCAAAGTTAGCATATTTCATCCTTCCCCCATCACTTCACTTCATTTGAAGAGACAGCTAATGTACAGTCAAAGTGACAAGCTTTTACAAAACTGGAATTTCTAATTATTTTTTCTATTTTTCTTTAGCTTCTAAGCAACTTCATGTAGAGATGAGAAATTGCATGATAAAGCACCTAAAATACAGCACAGACAGCATGCATCACTCCACCTGACTATTTTTTGAAAATAAAATCAATTTTCTTTTCTATTTTTTTTAAAAAATAATAATGAAATGCATTTATTATCTAGACCGACTGAGATACCAAAGGTTCCAGTTTAATTTACTTGATAATAAACTTCAGCAGGGCCACAGTACGTATGCTCAAAGAGGAAATTAGCATGTCACTTACTGAACAAGACAATATTCACTAGATGTGTGGGTATCTTTTGTATTCTCCTCATTTCTCGGCTTTTTCACCTCTGTTCTCAGCCCTTTATACCAAGAGAGAAACATGAATACTTATCCACAAACACACCTTTGTAGCTCTCATTTCCCATATAAATCAACAACTTGTTACAAGAGACAAAAGCTGGCAGTATTTTCATGATCCATGCCCTCAATTAACACCATTCCAGTGGTATGCATGCTGGGATGGATTTTTTCCTGTGTTTCTGCTAACGGGGTCCGGAGTCACAGACCTGGGAAGTACAAAGCCTCACAATGCTTCTCCCAAAGCTTCCATTTGGCCTTTCAGTAACCCTCTCCAAAAATTTCTATCAGCATTTCATATTTGTAACCACTTGCAGCAGTATCATCGACAGGGCAGAAGGAAGCTCTTAAGGCTGAGGTTTAGAAACAAGTAAATCCAGGGGGACAGGATTCCTGGGCTTGTTCTTTCAACATTCTTGGTCTCAAAATGTAGCTTTTCCAAAACACAGACTGCTGCTGCTGCTTGTGCTCTCTGTGTAGACATTCCCCACCCTGCCACTTAAGCCAAAGGATCAAGGATGAGCAGTTTAGTGCCTGCCTGCATTGCACAAAGCCTCAAGTGGGCCAAAAGTTTTTCACAATGCACTAGATGTAAAATTGAAGACTACAACTAATAAGGCAATTCCAAGTGCAGCCACCTCTAAAACAATCAATCTTCAAATATTTTCCTAAAGAAGTCTTTTAAAAGGCTATATTTGTTTCAAAACTTTATGATCCTGTGACTGTTTTCAAGTAGAGAGTAAATTATTTTGGATGAAATTTGAATTATTTTCTTTGCATTAATGCCCAGAAATAATTAGCAAAAGCACCCTTAGCATGTGACCTCACTTAGAGAATGGTTTCCGTGACTTGGTGATTGCTATTCTAAATAGAAAAAACCATTTTTCTTATGACGGTCTTAGCTGCAGAGGTCATGTGCTGATCCATGCAGATGAGGGAACGCAATTGTGTTCTTTCTTATTCCCAAGGACCTCTAAAACATTTTCAGGCTAAACTGGCAATTAATTTGTTGAACTGAAATTCATTAAATGCTCAAATTGCAAACATGCAGCTGAGTATTAACAGTATATGAATCATATTTTTCTATTTTATGCAACAAAATAAATTTCCAGTTGAACTCAGTAGGACGAGTCACACTGCCTAAGGGAGCAATTTCTTAACTCAGGGGACTGAGTCAGATTCCTTTATTATCATTATACCCCCAAGAGGGAAAAACACAGAATGAAGTTGAGCTAAAATGTTGATTAAAATGAGAGTTCTGGATTATTTTGTAGAAAAATTATTGTGTATGTGATAGGTTGTCCTCCTAATTCAGGTGTCTAAGTGAGAAGCCAAGACCTGGTATGACTGCACACAAATTACAGTCAGCTGGGAAAAATACCTCTGCACATATGGGCATGGCCTGGCATGAGATTTACACTGTCTCCTCCAAATTTTCAAGAAGCAGCAAGAGCTCACTGTATGCTGCCATGATCATGGTGCTTTCCCAGGCTCAGACCCTTCTGTCATGGCAAAGCAATTCCAGGATACCCTGTCCTTCACAGAGAAAACACACATTTCCCTGGATGGTTTTCACAGTGACGCTGGGTGCCATTTCTAAAAATGACAAGAGGAAGGGTCCGGGGACTTAAATGTCAGCCAGGCTCTCCTCAGACCTTGGAAAAATCACACAGCTTCTCTTTTTGGGATGCTTGAATAAGCATTGTTGTGAAGAACAAAAACTTTACAGCTTCAATTAGCAATCCCCCGATTTACCAGGGACAAATGATGTTCAGCAAACCTGGTGCCTCCTACAACAAAGTGAGGTTTGTTGTACATGGATGTCATGTATCTCAGCATTAGGAAAGCTTTTGACTCCATACTCTGCCAGCTGGCAGATGAGGAATTGTGGACTGGAAGAAATGATGTTTAGATGGACTAAAAATTAACAGTACCTCTGGGCTTGAAATTTATCAACGAGCAGCTCAGCATCTGCTTGGTGACCAGCAGCGAGAAGAGCAGTCTTTCTCTTTCTCACAGTTGGATGTCTTAATCAATGACCTAGGTGATGACCTAGGATGCAACACATGCAAATTTATTAATTATGCTAAATTAGATGGAGTTACTTGAATCCACAGGGATTTTTATAAACTAGAGAACTGGGAAAACAGAAACTTCATGATTTCCAACAAGGAGACAAGCAAAGTTCTGCTCTTGGAATAGTATAAGCTCACTTGTGATTAAGGAATTTGTAGTAATCCTGCTGAAAAGATTATTGTTGGACTCTAGCTCGAATACTCTCTCTTCCTATGAATAAGGTAAAACAACAATTACCCTGTTGTTGAAAGGAGTTCCCTAAAAGAGATGAGGAAGTTGCTTTTCCCATCTACCTGGAGCTTGGGAGGCTTCCTGTGAAAAAGAGGATCAATCAAGTTTTGGACAACCTACTGGACCACAAGGAAATACTGAGAGATCCTGAAATACTGAGACTGCTGAAGAGTCTTAGGCTTGATCTAAAAGCAGGCAACAACTACTTGAAGAGGACTTAAAATAAAAAAGGGATTTAAGGAAAAACTTTTCACCAGGAGGAAAACCTTTGCAGTGTACCCCTGTCAAGCTGTGCAGGTAAACTCTGAAATTTCCATCCATTTTTTTGAGGTCCTCAAGATGCAGCTACACACAGCATGGCTGATCTGACTTAGTATTGGCAACAGTCTTGTCTTTTTGGGTGAGCAGCCTCAAAAGTCTTTTTGAAATCCTTCTGTGATCAGCAGCTTTATGTTTACTCTCCACTCTTCTATACTGCATAGGGATTTCTGCATCTACATCAGGAATCCTGGCAGGTCCACAGGATTTGAAGATTAATAGGTTGGAAAATACCTTTTCCATG